TCGCAATTGTTTTACTAGGTTTTCTAGAATTAAAAACATGCTAAAAAAATATTGTTGTTCGTTTAAAAAAAATTGTAATTCAATAATCGAAGAAGGTCAATAAATAAGAAAACAAAAATAAGTATCTTATAAATTCTTAGAAAATAATTTTAAATAAACGTTAGATTTTACATGCCATGCGTTTTTTTCTAATTGTTGGGTGACTTTCTAAGTGAAATATCAACAGTTCAGTGACTTTCTAAGTAAAACACTAATCGTTGAGTGACTTTTGAGTTATAAAATAAAATTGAGTGACTTTCTAAGTAAACAACTCAAAATTGAGTGACTTTATAAGTGAAGTATGTAAAGTTAAGTGACCATCTGAGATATTATTTTATTTTTCATTTGCAACGCAAAATCGATTCAGAAAAATACTGAACTAAATCAGATCAAAGTAGAAAAAATTGACCGAAACCAAATAATTTGGTTTGATATACAGTGCAGACTTTTCTAAAATCCAAAACTAAAAAAATGAATTGGAATTTGATAAAATCGAACTGAGGAACCAAACACCCACCCTTATCCCGCAACACAAACTAAACATGAAAACTCTGGGGGGGGGGGATGATCATTTCATTTAAATCAAATTCACAAGAAAGGAGACATTACACTATCCACCATTAAAACACACATATGTTTTCGAATGAAAAGCAAAATAAAATACCTGCTAAACTTCCTCAATGATAGGAATAATTCATGAATAGAAGTCTATTAAGTTAATAAAGCACTAACTTATCAAGAAGATAAGTCACTTTCGTAAATTTCTTACTTTATTGCTCTAGTTTTTCACTTATAATAATTGAAATAGGATAAAGTAAATAAGAAATAACTTGAAACTTTATGTAAGAACACTTTCATTCACTGGTTTCGAGAAAACAATTTGGATGAGTGCAATATCTATTAGGATTCTTGGAAATTACTATATTGAGCACCCTTTCATGCTTATAAGAAGGGTAATATAGAGATTAATACATCAAATATTGAATTTCTTAATAAGTCGAATTAATAATCTCAAAATTCTATAAATTCTTGAAATATTAATTATAAAGAGATTAATGCATCAAATATTGTCTTTGTCAAATCAGTAACCGACGTTCCTAGTGAGAAAATTTATCAAGGAGGTTTAACTCATTCAACATTCGAGAAGTACTCTACTAGCGGTTCTCAAATTACCGAGTGAATTAAAAAAGAATTAAGGTAAAAAATAGTTGTAGTCATAAATATTTATCAACAAATCATTGTTTGATCATATTATTTATGATTATAGTTTATTTTTCATTACTGTAAAATTTATTCTAAATAAAGAAAAGACATAAAGTTACCATTGAAGTTGTATCGAATTTTTTAAAAGATACCTTAACTTTGTGTGTATCCTATTACCCCACGAAACTATCTAAATCCACAATAAACATACCCTTTTGACTAATTTTAACACCACTCGTGTTGTCACGAAATTTGGGCGCATGAAGGACTGTTCATACAACTTCAGACCAACGTAAAATTGTCATGTGGCATTCCCAATTTGACTTATTTTGAAAAAAAATATAAAAACCCATGTATTGATTTTTTAAAGATTTATTATGGATAGTTTTTACTTTGAGAAAAGATATAAAGTCACTACTGAAGTTGTTTCGAATTTTCAAAAAGACGCCTTAACTTTGCGGGTGTCCTATTACCCCACGCAACTATTTAAATTCACAATAAATATACCTTTTTGACTAATTTTAACACCACTCGTGTTGTCACAAAATTTAGGCGCGTGATGTACTGTTCATACTACTTCAGACCAACGTAAAATTGTCCTGTGGCACTTGCAATTTGACTTATTTTTAAAAAAAAAATACAAACACCCATGTATTAATTTTTTAAAAGCTTTATTAGGAATAATTTTTAATTTTCAATCTTTTTTCTCATCTTCCCTATCATCATTAGCTTACTCATGTTTCTTGGGCATCTATGTCTTCCTTCATTTTTTTCTAAACTATATTATTGTGTTCATTCTTATTCTTTTTTATTTTGAAAAAAAAATTAGTAGTGATTTTTTTCCTCCTACAAATCAAGTTTGAAATTAAGGAAAAGTGAAACTATGGAAAACTCGATTTGGGAGTAAGAAGTTGGAGAAGGAGATGATCTAAATGTCAGATTTTGACTTGGTTATATTTTTTGAATATTTAAATTTTGATTATTTGACGATATTTATTTTCATAAATAAATTAATAGGTGATAGTTTGACAAATAATTGATAGTGTTGCCAAAAATTTTCGTTCTCAACAATGGATATGGCGACTGTTCTTCTGGAAGAAGGAATGACAAAAGCTACAGGAGTGAGGCAAAGAAGAAGAAAGAGAACCAGAAAAAAGAAGAAAAAAAGGAAAAAGAAAAAGAAAAGCAAAGAAATTAAATAAGATAATTTAAAATTACTTTTAATACGTGTTAAGTGATTATTAGTGCGTGACTTACAAATATTTTTGTACAAGTGGTATTGTGAAATTGATTAATGGGGTAATAGGACACTCGCAAAGTTAAGGTGTCTTTTTAAAAATTCAGAATAACTTCAGTGGTGATTTTATGTCTTTTCTCTTTTACTTTTCAAATCTTTTTTCTCATCTTCCCTACCATGATTAGTTTACCCACATTTCTTGGACATTTATGTCTTCCTCCATTTGTTTTAAAAACAAATGTTATTGTGTTCATTCTTATTCTTTTTTTAAAAAAAAAACAAATTAACTTAGTGATTTTATTCCTCCTACAAATAAGATTTTAGATTTAGGAATAGCGAAACTATAAAAAAACTCGATTTGGGAGTATGAAGTTGAAGAAGGAAGTTATTTAATTGTCATATTTTGACTTGATGATATTTTGAGTATTTAGATTTTGATTATTTACCAATATTTATTTTCATAAATAAACTAATTGGTGGTAGTTTGACAAATAATTAATAATGTTATGAAAAATTTTGTCCCGCCACAACAGGTTTAGCGGCTGTTCTACACAACGAAAGGAACGACAAAATTTAAGAACAGAGAATGAGGGTGAAGAAGAAAGAGAAACAGGAAAAAAGAAAAAAACAGAAAAAGAAAGTTAAAAAAAAACAAAGAAATCAAATAAAAATAATGTAAAATTACTTTTAACACGTGTCAAGTGACTATTCGTGCGTGACTTGCAAATATTTTTGTATAAGTGGTATTAGGCGAAAAATGAGTTATAAATACTATTGTGAAGTTGTTTAATAGGGTAATAGGATACCCGCAAAGTTAAGGTGTCTTTTTGAATATTCGAGACAACTTCAATAGTGATTTTATGTCTTTTCTCTTGCAAATAATTACATATCTTTAATTTAATATCTTAAAATTTGAAAGTACAACAACAACAACAACATTTATTTTAAATTTTAAGATATTAAATGAAACAAATGTAATATTTGCTCCAACACCACCGTCACCATCAACAACAATAAAAAAAAATATTTTTTAAGTATATAAATTTTAAAAACTATTGTGATTCTTTAACTTATTGTAAAATGAATGTCTACATACATATATCTTATGATAACATATATGTACACACTGTACACTATGTGTAAGAGGAATATATACACCCAACAATCAAAGTGTTGTAACTAACCATCCATATGATATACTTGGTGCTGAAAGTGTATACATGACAAGAAGATATTCATGTATCACACTTGGTGCCCATGTATATATAACAATATATACCCCTCTTGTTGTAACAAAGTAAAAAACATAAGGAAAGAGTAAGTGAAACAAAAACATTCCATACTATTACTACATGTGAAGTCATCAAAATATGATAAGATGAAAAAAATGGAAACAACATTTTATTGGCCTGTTTGGCCATGCGATATGGTATGAATATATGAAATCATGATATGGAATCATGAGATGCAATTGAAGTTTTGTTTGGACATGCGAATAGGAATTTTTGTGTTGTATTTTTTCTCATAAACATAAAAAATCTCATAAGTTGTAGAACTATTTAAATAACACTGAATTGCTTATTCCATCTTACCAAATAAATAAAAAGTTATAAAATTGTATAATAAACTATTACAAAGTTATTTGTTCTCCACTTAAGTAACTGTTTCATCTAATTTTAATTTAACAAAAAAAAATCAAACAAAAATTATAGTATACTAGTCTTTAATATTATTCTTTTTACATAGTACATACTATTTCCTCATGTTGAACTTGCATTTCTCGATCATGTGACCGAGATGACGAGATAATATTGTTAATTTGAGCCTTTTGTTGGTCAATATCACCCACAACTATATTTTCATGCTCAAAGACCATAAATATTTCATCTCTTCAATAATCAGTTGGTGTGAATTAAAGTGACTATATGTTGGTGAGAATAATAAATTTTATGTCGGTGAGATTAATAAATTTTAAAAAGTAATGATATGATTATAAATTTTATTTAGATTTGAAATAAATGATTAGTAAATATAAATATGAGGTTATTTTTAACAAAATATGAACTTGTAGATCAATTTTTATATTAAAATATCTCAAATCATGATATGAAATTTCCATATAATCCCATATCATGGATTTTGGAGAATATGAAATCACATCTCATGATATGAAATTTTGAAATGAAATCAATGTAAAATTGCATGTCTAAACGCTGAATCCATCTCACGATACCATATCGCATGGCCAAACGCCTATTTAAAGTCTGTTTGGATTAACTTATAAAAAATTAAGTAGCTTTTAAGTAAAAATAAAAATTAAAAAAGTCACACTTGAATATTTTTTAACCAAAAAAAATAAATAGAGGAGATATATTTTTTACTTTTAATTTATTTTTAACTTTATCAAATAGTTTGATAACTTATTTTAAATCACATTTATATTTATCTTTGAATCCAAACGAACACCGTGTTAAAAACTGTGCGCCCGTAAACTCTTTTTATTGTTGTATGAAAATGTGTAAACCCACATGACTATTGAGTGAGTGCCGTAACTGTGACGTTTGTTCCGCAAAGCAAAAAGCAAAATAGAAATTAGCACAAGTTTGAAAAACAGAGGTCCAGAGAAGTCCAACACAAGTCCAAGCGTATATTATATTTGTGATTGAGCTAACAGATCCCACCATACCATTGTTGATTGCTTGCGAGTAGAGTAATTGTTTGTTGAAGGAGAAATGGCAAGGAGAGCAGACGAAGAGTACGATTACTTGTTCAAAATTGTGTTAATCGGAGATTCTGGAGTTGGAAAATCCAATTTACTCTCCAGATTCACTAGAAATGAGTTCTGTTTGGAGTCTAAATCTACTATCGGCGTTGAATTTGCTACTCGTACTCTCAAGGTTCTCTTCTCTTCTCTTCACCCTTTTCTATTTCCGATCATCATCAACTTATTATTAACAATGATGCATCAGTGAGCTTCAGAAACATGTCATCGCTATTTATACCACTTACAATTACCTGCATGCCTACTTAAGATCTGGATTTTTACACCCATTTGATGTGATTATTTACATAATCTGGACAATGTGCGACGGCAAGAGCTATAGCAGCTTAAGTTGCAGTTGATTCGAAAACATACCCTAGGGTGGTTGGATGGGGAGTCAGATCAGGCCAATGATGATATTACTGAGAAACATCTTTATCAGAATATTTTTGCTTCTCACTTCGGCGATTATAAGAAAGATCCTTTTCAAGTTTGAATTTGTTCATTTGAAATTAGGTTCTTCTGCTTCATATTTATTTGATACGATTATTTTCCCTCTTTTTTATATCATTCCTTTAGTCCCATAGGTTTGATAATTTGACCAATTTTCTCACGGGGTTTTGTGAACCAACGGGTTGCTCTTCTAGTTGAATGAGTTGCACCACGTCTCACCACCCCGAAGCATATAGATCTACCCGATCGATGAACACTCAAAATTTGGAATAGACTCATCTCTAGGCTTCGCATCTTTTGAGGACAATGTGTAACGGCAAGAGCTGTTGTGCTGGGGCTCAAAAGATTAGAAATAGGTTTTAGGATTTTGATTTAATAAGCTTGAATCATATTTCTAATCGTTTGAGCTCCAGCACAACAGCCTTCTTTCTAGATCTATGAAACCCAGCAGAGCTACAGTCCTTACTTTTCGTCTATGTAAGTTGTTAAATAGGAGTTTTAACAATAATACAATTAAGTTGAAGTTGAAAAAACAAAAGAAAGAAGAAGCAAGGAATTCAGAAGTTGAAATTTTGATGGGAGCTATACTTGGACAAAAGAACTCTTACTCTTGAACATTTGTGAGTTATTCACCTTAGATACTGAAGCTGATCAGTTTTTTCCAAATGTCAAACTAATATTTGCAAGTACTAGTGTTTATGCCGAAACAGGCTCTAACAAGCTACTCGGACTCTGCCACTAATTGGTTCAAATCATTTTAGGCAATATTAGATCTTCGATTTGAAGAAATAGAAACAAGGAAAAGTAAGAGTGTAGGATTAAGAAAATAGTTAGTTATGCAGAAAAGGAAAGAACATTGGCCACTCTACTGGTGCATGGTTTAATAACTAGCTTCCAAAATTGGCACATCTATTTTACAGTTGTTAACTATTAGTAATAAAGTCCAAACACCCTTGATCAATTATGTTGGTCTTTCTACCTGTGATATTACAAATTTACTCCTTTTGCTTGAATTTAAGGAATCTATATTCAAAGTGAACATTAACAACTTTTTTGTGAAGATACTTTCCGTCTATAAATAAGTGTAGCAACAACTTAGACTATATATTGGAACTTGGAAGTGAAGAAATTACTAAGCTAAAAACATAAACATGCATTAAGAATGACATAGCTTCCATAACAAGGTTGATACCACTAATATGATTTGTATTTTTGTTCGTCTTAAGTAGGTTCATTTGACATTATATATTTTTGGTTAATTCAAATGTACTAAATTCAGGTTATATTGACCTTTTTAGTATCGTCTTAGAAGTCCATTATGGGTGTCTTAGGTTGAAGAAAAGCGAAAAGGGAGTGATACTTTCCTTTAGTCAAAATAACTTTTAGGGCAAGACAGGAGAGATGGAGAGATAGAAAGAGACAGAGAGAGGGGAGTGGGTTGGGGTAAAATCATCATTAATAATTTATGTTCCATACTTTATTTTTGTCCAAGCTGAGTAATGGAAGGAAAATAAATCTCTTTCGATGAATGTCCTTATATTGCCTAAAATATCTTTGCTTATAGAATAAATAATAGGCCTAATACTTGCTTTACCCCCTCAACTTGAACACAAATCTATATGACACACTTCAATTCATACTCAACCTTTTACACACTAAATCATTTGCTAAATATGTCTAAGACTTCCCGCTCTTAAGTGCCACTCGGGTGTTCTACGCACAAAAGCAGCGAGTGAGTATCAAAATTTTACATGTCTAAAGCCCTATAGGGGTGCCATATGTCCAACACTCCAACTTTGTCATATTCTTATTTTTTCAATCATCTTTCTTTTTCCAACCTATCTATCTCTTCTAACAAAAACCTATCAATTTTCCCCACCCAAACCCATTCCTTCAATAGCTTCAACTGGCATCACCCATGACAATTACCTAAAAACTTCAACTTCAACAATAATCTGGCCACCTGCTTTGACCGACAGCAGAGAGTAGAGACTAACACCTTGATTCCCCATCACTCTAAACTTTCCGGAAGTCGAAAATACATTTCCTGATGGACATAGTTGATTATCCCCAATCAATGTCTCGCGTGTTGTAGTATTACATAGATGGTATAAATTGAAATAATCGCCTAAACTTGATGTTTCTGTAGATCAACTTTTCTACTTCTTTAGATGTAGTATTGCAAACCAGATTCTCTTGCAGGCTCTGGCATACGGCATACCTTTCCAAATTATTTAATTGTTTCTTTTTGAAGCATGTGCATACAAATGTTTGTTTTTGAGAATTTTGGGTAGTATTAAATGGAGCATCAATTGACATGGTAGTACAGTCATGGGGGTGGTAGCATGGTAGGGGAAGATGAAGAAGATGGAAGTGTACATTTAATTTTAGTGTTTTTTGAAAAAGCTAATGACACATGTCACATACACTTGTTCAGAAAAAGTGGTCAAACACAGAAGTGGTGTGTCTTAGATACGTGTGAGAAATGTTTTTTTTGTATAAGGTTGCGTGTGAGATTGGAGTGTGTTAAGAGATTTGCGTATAAGCTTGGAGAAAAGTATGTATTAAGCCAAATAAATACTTCATTTAGAGTGTCAATGTCATTGATGGCATGACACAGTGCTTTTTTTTATCCTGGTCAACTCATAAATACAGGTTTGCTCCGCTCTACATCACTTGTTCTCACATACACATACATCGAGACAAATACAGAATGCGCACTCAGGAAGAAACAACACAACTATTCCACCAATGATCATCTACTTATCATCAAACACCACCACCTTCATCATCTCGCCACCTCTTGCTTATTCCTAACCACCATAAGCTCCACAAGTTCACTCCTTAAAAGGACAAAGATCAATTAGATCTAAAAAAAATCAGATTTACTGAAGTCTACATCAAGCACCTCACTATTTTCCATCACAACTGTACCTGGTAATGTGTTAGCACACTTTTAGTCTACCAATAGTTTTATGCACGGAAAGTTTAATCCGAAAGTTGATTAAATCAACAACTATTATATATGTTTTTTAGTTCTCTGTAGGTTTCTGTAAAAGGTGTTTTCCCTGCAGCAGTTGTTTTTCTCTGTAGTAGTTATTAGCAGTAAGGAGGTTATTCCTCCACTTTCTCATTTCAGTTGTAGTAGGAAGTTATTTCCTTGTTATTAGGTGGGTGGTTTAACCACCAATGTTGTATTTAAGTTATTTTATTTCAATGGAAAGGAAAGCAGTCGTGTTTTTGAGTACTTCAAACTCAAGAGATCGCAGGTTCTCTCTTAACAAACCAGGATCATAGGTAGAAAAAAGAAAACTTAACAAACCAGCATCATAGGTAGAAAAAAGAAAACTTTAGATTTTATCTTGCAGGGTCCATAACTAGATCCATAACAGGGGACATAACATAATGTTTGGTTCAAAGCCTTTGGAAGTCTGTAAGAACTACAATTAAATAATTTGGAATTTGAAGAAGAGGGATTAGTTGATGCTGGATCCTTCAATTGGCCGAGTGGTGGCAGTGTCGCCACTGGTTATTGCTTTGATTTCTTTTTTTGTTGAACGTTCTTCCGTTGAAGGTGGAATGGTGGATGGGGATTGACTTGGGGTGTTGGGGGGGGGGATGTGATTTGAAAGATCCAGGAAGAGGATGTTGTGGTGGTGGGACGACAGTTTTGGGATATGTAAGGTTATGGTTATACTGAACACTGGTTGATTATTGGGATTCACATGTGGCTTTAATGGTTGTTTGTTGGTGGGTCTAAGGTGGTGAAAGGATGAAAAGGAAGAATGGAAAAAGGTTTGCTTATTTTGAGTTGAATGCCAGATTATATAGTGACGTTGAGAAGCATAGTGGCATTAATGGTTTTTCTGGGGCAAGATGCTATTTTTTTTTGGTGGGAGAGGAAGGTGGTGTAAGGTTGTAATGTAGGTGAAAAGAGGGGGGGTGGGGTGGGGGGGGTTGACTAGAGTCATGTCATTTAATTGGACAAAACGGGCTAATTAGAGACATAGGTGACCCCAAGCTAGTTCAATTAGTGTATAACGACATTATTGAGCCAATTTGGTTGATAGCATAGGTGACCCCAACTATTAATGGTGGGAGAAATTGTGGCATTTTGTATAGTTAAAGGGGTAAATTTGACACTTTGCGCCTTAATAAATTATCACTTGCTTGAGTTTGGTTCCAAATATGTTTTCTGATAAATTATCACTTGCTTGAGTTTGGTTCCAAATATGTTTTCAACTTTTGCTCTTAAGAATCCTAGATTCATGATACAGAGGGCTCTTATTAAAAGAAAATTGCTCAGTGAAAAAAAGTTCCTCTCTTGTCCAAACACCTACCTTCTATTATTAGCATGCAAATTTAAGTAAAAAACTTTATGTTAATACTTTCTATATAACTATAGTCTTGTCCTATGTTCTTACTTTTTGGTGGAGTTTGCACTTAAGTAGCAAAAATATAAAGGGGCATTTCTAATGAAAAAATTTTTGCAAATTGAATGTGTGATGCATAGAACAGTCATCTTCACTGGAAAACTAGAAAAATAACCAGGATTACCTGAGCTAAGAGTGAGGTTAAGTGTATTGTTCCACGTTCTAGGAGGTCAAACATGATTGCCACAAAATTATTCAAATGAACTCTACCTTTGTGTGGATGCCATGATATTTTGCATAGATTTTAATATTCAACAGTGCTTCTTACATGCTGTAAGCAAGTTTCACATCACTTTTCTTTTTGTTTGTTGAATGAGCAAATGTAAATTGTAATTCTTTACGTGTTTCTACTTGTCTTTACTTAACTGTATTTTGAAAAACAAATATAGTTTCTGCTGAACTGATGATATATCATATATGCATAGGTAGAGGGAAGGACCATTAAGTCTCAGATCTGGGACACGGCTGGACAGGAGAGATATAGAGCCATTACGAGTGCATACTATAGGGGTGCTCTTGGTGCTCTTCTGGTATATGATGTTACAAAACCTATTTCCTTTGAAAATGTGAGCCGGTGGTTAAAGGAACTGAGGGATCATGCAGACTCCAATATTGTAATTATGCTGATTGGAAACAAGACAGATCTGAAGCATCTGCGAGCAGTTGCTACAGAGGATGCTCAAAGCTATGCTGAAAGAGAAGGGCTTTCTTTCATAGAAACATCAGCGTTGGAGGCAACAAATGTTGAGAAGGCTTTCCAGATGAATCTTTCAGAAATTTATCGGATAATCAGTAAGAAATCACTCTCTTCAGGAAATCCTGCACCTGCTAACATTAAAGAAGGGAAGACTCTTGTTGTTGGTGCAGAGGAGATAAACACCAAGAAAGCTTGTTGCTCTGCATCTTAATGATTCCTCGCTTGCTGTTTGATTCCTTATTTTCAATCGATTGCTTTTATTATTCTATTAATTTTGAACTTATTTGTTTTATATTTCTATCAATTGTCTTGATCCTTCTGTTATAATTATTGTAATTAAATTTAGACTTGTTCTTGATTTATTCTATGTGTTTCAGGTTATCCTTCCCGTATAATTTTGCACACTTATTCTATACTCCCTATAGTCTATTTGAATTCTTGAGCATTCTTTCAATGTCCAAAATAAGTTAATTGTTCAAGTAGGTTGTTGAATAACTCATTACATTTTCAAGGTGATAAAGTTCAAAATACACTACAACAAAAATAAATTTATCGACATTAAATATTGACATAAATAAAGAGTGCTAAAATTTTTACCAGTATTAGTTAAGTGACATTAGAACCAATGTCACCAAAAGTTTTAGGGACATATACAAAGAGGTCAATTACAGTTAAAAATACATATTTAACGGCAATTAAAAATTAATTTTCGCTAATAATTATTTTTATCGTAGTTAGATTTAATTTATTTTGAATTATTTATTTTGCTCTTTATTTTTACTGTTGTACTGTGGAGTCTTTTTTTTTTTTTGGGGGGGGGGTCCTTGTTTGCTAAGAAAAAAAATTCAGATTTGTGTATCAATTTTTGCTAAGCTTGGATCTCACCTTTGGCTATCAATTTTTGGTTGAAATTGACTATTTCTATTTGGGTATATCTTCTATTTCTTAATTCATGTAGCTAAATTTGTAGCTAGAGATGTGTGTTGGATGTAAGTTTAAAACTCAATGGATATTTGATTATTAGTTCTAAAATTGGTTGTTAAGCATAGATCTATTGCTATCTTGAAGTTTTAATTTTAAAATCAGTAATTGCAAATATTGATTGAATTTTAATTTTAAAATCAGTAATTGCAAATATTGATTGAATTTTAATTTTAAAATCAGTAATTGCAAACATTGATTGAACTCTTAACAAATGTTTTGACTTGAAAAAGCAAAATAGAGTTGGGTAAGGCTTCATTAGTGAGGATTTGACGAAATGAGTCATTAAAACTAGAGATAGAATTATTGACTAATTTCTAATTTAAGGATATGAGATTGGAAATATCTACCCTTTCAAGCAATTTGTTTTCTTGTTAAGAGTCTTGGAGTTTATGAGAATCCAAGGATATACTTTTTATTTACCAAAAAATTGAACATGACAGAACATTTGACTCTGTTTTCTATTCTATTTACTTTATGCTTTGTCTTTCCCTTATTTCAGACAATATTTCATTGTAGACAATTTATGTATTCTTTGATTCTCCTCTATACTTGACATCGAGTCTTAGTAATTGTATTTTATTACTTTTTTATCTTCGTAAGTATGTTCGTTAGAGGTTTATCTATCCTATTGAAAAAAGTGTAAGACTTAATTTGTTTTCATTAAGATTAAGTCGTTTGAATCTAAATGTACATTGAATATTAATCTATGCATTAAGATCTACATGTTTAAATCTGAATACACATATGAATATTAAGATGTACTAAATAGTTAAGAATGTTTGTTTTCTCAATATCTAAATGTATAAAATTTATGTCTGTTTAAAGAATAACAATTATAAAGTTCAAATAAAATACTAAATTGATCTAATATTATATCAATAAAATATTTTAATTTTTTAATATGATAATTGGTAATGGTGTTGGCTGATAGTAATGGTTGTAGGTAGTATCTAATTGTATATTGGTTGACAATGATAATAATTAACCGTGGTTGTTGTTTGTGTCGACTGATAATTACTAGTGGAATGATAGTAATAACTAATAATAATGGTGAATGATGATGACAATTAATGATACATAATATTGACTAATGAGGGTAATTATCGATAGTGATTAGTGAATGTATTAAAAATTGAAGGTGATGATTGCAAATAATGGCTCATAGTAATGACAATTGATTTTGGTGATTAATGGTAGTAGTGATTAGATTGAGGATGCTATTAATGGATGAGAGGTGGTGATGATTAACGGTGGTTGGAGGTGATAGTTTTGGTTGAAACGGTGGTTGTGGGTGGTTGCTGAATGTACATTTAGGTAATTGTAATAATGACAATTATAACTAAGTGTCTAATGTTGAAAATAAAACAGAAAAACAATTAAAACCTTATATTATATGTACAAGTAAAATAATTAAATATAAAAAATAATGGTAGATAAATTTTAGGAAAAACTACATAAAATGGCAAACTATATTTTATATTAAAATAATATAGCTATACTTCCTTAAATTTTTATTTTATGACTACATTTAATTAATAAATAGCAAATAAATATTAAATTATCCTAAAAAATATTGTATATGCCCCTAATTTCACGTTTATATTCCTTCCATAATAATTGTGCATGCACGCGTCACGTTTCTCTCTCTATAATCTACTCCTATATTAATTATGTTTCTATTTTAACGTTTCTCTTCCTTCCATAATAATTGTGCACAGATATTATGGATGTTTCTTTCTCTATTATCTACAGCACGCCTATTGGAATTAAAGAAGCCTATTTTCACGTTAATTCCAAGAAATCCATTTTTCAGCTTCAAACTTATCTTCCAAAATCCTTCCAAAATCTGATTTGACGTTCAGTCATTTTCCAAGAAATCCATTTTACAGCTTCAAACTTGTCTCCCAAATCCTCCCAAAATCAGATTTACCATAAAATTCTTAATCAATTAAATCTCTATCAAGCTCCCACGAAATTAGGTTTGTATTTTTTCAAATCAAATACGCAACATTGCTTGATTTTCGGAGATATTTATGTTGTTTAGATCATGCAGGTTTCTTCAATTTTTATTAGGTTAAATTCTTTAATATTTATTTGTTCATAAATTTTAGGATCTGGATTGTTGAATATAATGTCTAAACGAAATACCATAAGGATAATCACAAGAGATACAAAATATACCAAAAATTTCATGGTTGAAATACCATCTTTTGATCTAGGTATAACTCAGATTAAAACATAAAATTCAGGATATACTGCTACGATGGAATTACATAAGAAGCCGAAAGATGAAATAGCAAGGTCTCCTTCAAAAAGAAAAGTAGGGTCAACGGTGAAAGCGATTGAAAAAAATTGTTACAAGAGGAGGAAAGTAAAAAATGTAGTTTCTGGCATGATTGGAGAAAATGCAGTTAATGAAGAACAAGACGAAGTCAATGAAGAATTAAAGGTATGTATGTACATTTTTAATTTTTTGAATTTTTTCAAATAATTTTTGCGTATGTACATGCAGTGTACTTTAATTCTATTAAGAAAGATCATGTGGAGTATATATCTTTTGATTTGTATAATTTACTTAAATGAATATAGATTTTGATTATGATATAGTATTAATGTTGTTGAATGGTGGTAACTGTAGTTTAGATATATATGCATTTAGTTTTGCAAAAAGTACATAAGTGAATACATTTTGTATGAGAGATTTTTGTGTGAATGTAGGCAGTAATGTAATGTATGCATGTTGCATGTAAAAATTAGTGTATATTGTAAGAAATATCAAGATAACGTATAATAAGTCAAAAAAAGAACATTAAAGCTTTTTGTACATGTGTTATAATGTAATGTAAGTCGAACAACAAAGGTTACGTTGAGTATATACCAAGAAAGTTTATTAGTAGTTTTTCCTTTTTTGAATGTGTTATCTTTTATAATTACAGGGTATCAGATTTCATGTATTGGCTCGCCCAATTAAACCCCCACGCATGCAGGTTTATGTGAACCGTAACATAGTCACAGATTTGAAGGGGAAGCTTACATCGATCCAATTCAATCGATTTAAAGATACATGTTTTGGAGCATATAAAAAAATGCACGTGTGTGGAGCGCAATCACAAATGTTTAGGTGTTTCATGGTATGTGAATGATGAATCGTTGTTTCATATAAATCATACCACGCTCTGTTTTGGTATCAAAGAATTTGCTATCATTACTGGGTTGAATTGCTTTGGTAATAAAGATGACTTTTTGTTTGATACAAGTAAGCCAAACAAATTAATTAATCAGTATTTTGAGGGTAAAAGTATTGTTACAAAAGTGGATTTGATCAGCAAGTATAAAAAAAAGGTTTGGGGTGGTGGCAATGATGATGATGTTGTTAAATTCGCTATTTTGTATTTTATTTGTACGTTCATATATTCCGGCGAGAAGAAGAGCTCATCAATTTCAAGGATACATTTTGATCTAGTTGAGAGCGGCCGGTACCATGAATACCCCTGGGGAAATATGTTTTCTACAAATTGCTCAAAAGCGTAACAAAAAAAATGGATGAGAAGAAAGAGTATTATAGAATTGATGGTATGCCTCTAGTCATGGAAATTTGGATATATGAACGTTGTTCTGCGGTTGATTCGAATATTGCTGTAAAGAAAAGCAATCGTATTTCCAGAATCGTCAATTGGATGACCAGAAACAACAAAATACATTATGAATTCCTCATGGAAGGAATGTTCAGTGATAACCGCAATCCGGTAATTTAACATATTTTAATCATTCAATTAGTATAGATTTTGTTGTATTTCAATATATTTTTTTAATTATAATTATTTTGTGCGCAGTTAAAATTCAAAAACATCGAACCTTCACTTAAGGAGATTGCATTTTATCAGCTTGAATCAAAAAGTGATGCAATCACAGAGATTACCTTTCAAGATGTTGGTGACAAAGATGACGACGAAGATGATTATTTCACTTCAAAGCCTCCAAATCATAAGCCACACAGTAAAAAAAAAGGGAAATTGAAGGCATATGTTTTAAGATCCACATTGATCAAAACGTCCAATTTGTATGCAGGTTCAAGGTTGAAAGATAAACGCCCACCAGTATTGAATGATAGTCGTAAGGCAAAGAGTACAACTTTAAATTCTGATTCAAATCTATTGGAGGATAATGTATCAGTACAGGAGTTGCATAACTGTCCTGATGATTTTGCTAACCGTACACCACCGAGGAGTTCGAAAGAACCTCAAGATAACCACATCGCATACAACGTGACGTATGTGGAGGATATACCTCAACAAGGATCAGATTTTTTTGTAAGTATAAAACAAGTATCTTCATTCAATTTTCCTAAAAAGTATCAGATTTTAAAAATTCATGTATATTTTTAGGGATTGCGGGATATACTTGCTAGCATTTGCCGAGTACCTAAGTGAGGGTGAAGGTATTCCAGTTCAATACCTTGATTCTAAATTACACCGCATCAGATACGGTGCACTCTTGTGGAAATATGCAATGAAAAAGATGAAAGACGGGGATGATAGAGATAATGAGGCACCGCCAAGAAGAATGAGGATACCCGCAAGGATCGATAATAGTCAACTTGTTCTATTGATTAGTATTTTGTACTAGTTCTATTTTTTGAACTTATGGTTAAAACTAAATTTGTTTTTTTGTCAAACATTATCAACTTTTCTTTATATTCATATATGATCACATTAGTTGTTTTAAATTTATTTCTGTGTTATTTTATAATTAATGAGATAATCATGACTTGCCATGATTTGGCTTTGGCATCGGAAAATTATTCAATGGCTTATCAACTGCAACACGAGGGGATAAACAATATTTTTGACCATGTAAAACAATTTCCTGCAAAAGAAGTATAACATATTTTCGTATCACAACTTCTTTTCAAATTAAAAGTAAAAAATTAAGTGACCCCATTTTTACATGTATAAACATGGCATTCATGCACATAATGATGCGAGCCCACAAACAGTTTTAACAGTTTACATATTGAGACTTAATGTCAAAATACATATACACTTATACCAAAGAATTTGATTGCAAAATTTGTATCATGTTTACGATTTACATAATATTCAATTATATCTTATTTAACAAATATTTCAAAATATTCAAAAGGCAAATAAGTCATCATTCCTTTATTCAAAATAACAAAACTTAACTACAAGAACAATTTAATAGTGTCATGTAACAATTTGTATGCATTTCTTGTTGCAGTTCGACATGAACGCCTATTATGACCTTGTTGTCCACATGTACTACAAGAATTAGTACCCTTCCTTTTGCTCAGCTCGCTAAATGACTTTTCGCATTGCTTTTTTGGCCTTCCTGGCCTTCCTGGAGGTCGCTTGAATTTTGGTGGCAATACAACTTCGGTAGCAATGTGTCAGGTATGTTCCATTCACTTTTGTCAGGGAGAGGATATACAGGGACTTCATATGTTTTCAATATTGTTCCTCGCTTATAAAAATCTAAAAAATATTCTTCCGGAAGCATGCGATTTTTATTCAACACACTCCATGCATGTGAGCACAGTATACCGTCAACTTGAAACATGTTGCAACTGCAAGTCTTTTTTTTCAAGCATACAATATAACTCTCCCCTTCATCACTTACGGAATAAACGTAATTAGTTGACGGGGCAACTATAATCAATACAGAAATTCAATTATACACCTTAGTATTAAAGCAAATATCTTTGATTACTAAAATAAATGAATACATAATCCATTGAACAAATTTTTTTTTTCAATATACATACCATCATACGCCCAGATTTTGATTCATTAAGCAAAAACATCTCTTGAAACTTTCCAAGCAGTGTGAATGTGAATGATGCATTTTTTCGATTTGTGTAATTCCATCTAGCTAACATCAATCGCACTTGTTCAAGAAAATCAAATATTGGTAATTCTCTTGCTGCTACTATGGTCGAATTGATACACTCTGCAATATTCGATGTCATAACCCAACCACGAGGAACTGGTGCATACAACCTTGCCCACTTCTCATATCCAACCATCTCCAAGTAATTCTTAACCCTCACATCAAACTGCTCAACCCTTTTCATTAGCTTATCAAAATCACTTTGAGTATATGCCTTTTCCATAGTGTAGAATACTTCACTCAATCGATCATTTGCTTTTCAAAAATTCTTATATACATTAGCCCACAAGTGCCATATGCAGGTGTAATGTTGGACATTGTTGTATACAATATATACAACCTTAATTATGCTATTATGTCGGTAAGATACTACACACATATTCTCTCTTTCTCCATATGCTTCTTTGAATTGTTCAAAGAACCATGTCCAAGAAGCATCATTTTTCGAATCTATAACTCCGTATGCCAAAGGTAATATATTCCCTATTATAATATACAAAAATAGAGGAATAAACAAAAAAAAAAAATTAAAATGTATGTATGTATCCAAATGCCTGCTCCATCCATAGTGCGAGCTGATACGAATGCATCAGTGTATGATGGCGTCTACAACAACAATTGACCTGCAATGATCAAATCCCTTTATAAAAGCATCCAGCGCTATAAAAACATACAAAATTCGTCATTAGGTGTTTTCTTCATTCGTATATGTGAACCAGAATACGTCTTATCCAACGTATACAAGTATCCTGGTAGCTTCCGTAAGACGCAGCTGGTTGCCCCATGATAGATTCTAATGCCTTCTCCTTTGATCGCCATGCCAACATGTAATTAATATCAATACCCAAGTCCAACTTAATGTCATCCTTAATATCATTTGGACTGTACTTCCTCTTATGATTCCTCAATTTAGGTGCTATTATTCCTCCAATCAACGAACTTGTTGCACGACAATCTGAATGCACCCCATCCTTTAAAGGACATGTATGTTCAGAGTTAAAAACTGTAATTCTGAACATTTTTGACTTGTTAATACTTGACACTTTCATTGACCACGTGCATTCTTTAGATTGGCATACAATAGTATAGTTGCGAATACCATTTATAGTTTGATTTTAGTTTTGAGTTACCTCTTCAAACATATATAAATAAACGTAATATGGATAAATTTAAACACAATTTACCTAATAGAGTTTGACCTTTCCACCAAGAATTTAAACCTTTTTTCGGTTGAATATTTTTTCATCACATCTTTCAATGTCGACTTATCCATGTATATCTGATCCACCATTTTCTCCTTTTGCGATCTGTTCGTGATTATTAAATCATTTTCAACATCAAATGCATCTACCATTTGATCGCCAAATGCTGGTACGATTGCTAATGGATCATCCTCACTATTTAATTCTTTATTGTATTCAAGTTGCAACACATCACTTTCAATGGAAGTTTCTCCAGAATCAGAATATACAATATCAATATCGTAAATACTAACAGACAGGGGATATACTCCAATTTGAGTATTCATTTTTTTCAACTGAACATATAGGCGCACACCCATGTCGTTACGTATTTCCATAGACATGTCGTCACCTTCGATAGTGTATTTAATCTTCATACACTTCTTTGTAAGATCAATGTTTAATTGTACGGAAATCACATTAACTAAATCAGAATATGAAGCATATTCCTTCAAAACAATCTCGTCAATGTTGTATTCCATATAACAATTCTCATCGCTCCATTTTCCGGAATGACGAATCAAAACGCAGATTGTTGCCATTTTTTTCCGATAGTACAATGTATAAGAACAGATTGCATATTTTCAATTTTTTATATGTTGATAAGAATCCTATTAAGGAAAGGTCAGTTACAATTTGAAAGTGCCAGATTAGTGAGCTAGAAAATAGGATTTTCAGTTACATTTAAATTTCAATGTATTTATTTTTTAAAATTTAGCCATTTTTTAAAACAAACTGTAGCTATTTTTTTTAAATATGATAAATATAACCATCTCAATCTAATAACCCTCAAACTATAACTATTTATGTAAGTTATACTAAATTTTATGATAAAATTATAAATGAACTTTGTTATTAAGTCTCCAAAGAAATTTCACTTCAAAATTAAGAATAAATATGATACAAATTTCAATTAAAGATAAAAATTATGGTGAAAAATGAATTAAAATATCATAATAAAAAAATGGATGTACAAAGAAGGGTACAACTGTAAAATAGACGTTGCTTGGTAAAGAGAAAAAAAAAACGATAATTCTACAAGACCACATTATTTTTTAAGTTATTTATTTTACTATATCTTTATAATAGTGATATTTGAGCTTGTTTGCAATTAAGAATTTTTAAAGTGGACCTAGTCAATAATCTTGCGAAAATAATGGTAACTGAACCATTTAATTACGCGCAATAAATAACTACTTGATCCGAAAATGCAGATATTTTCTCTTTTATCTGTTTCTCTCAAGTTTGCATCATTTCTATTCTCTTTTGATTAGTATTTCTAGAGTAAGGTATTTTTTTTCCATTTCCATATTCTTTACGCACTTCAAGTCTATGGCATGCAATATCTTTTTATTTGTTACTTATAAGCATGCATATATATGCTAGATTCACATGCGTTGATATTTTCTTATATTAAATTTGGATTGCTTATTTTTGGGTGATTTTCTTCTTTTTCTGAGACCTCTGATTAAGGGTGGAGGAATGAATATATTATTTATATAGGGGATAATATTAGGGATTGAGAGGTTTGAAGTTTATGCATTTCTATATAATGATGTAAAAAGTAATATATAATAATAATAATTGAATATTTAATAAATTATATGATACATGTACAAGGCATAGAAAAAAAGTTAGCTTAACCCCTTCATTGTTTCCATGATGGATCTGAGTAGTAAAACGTCGTTTTTTTTTTCTCTCCGTTTTTAGAGTTTTTATGGGGTCTCATTCGTTGGTGAAATAATTTTCAAGTAGTTGGCATTAGGGCTTGATGACATTTTGGGTATTTTAGAGAATTCGTGTTTGATACTGAGAAGAATATTTTTCATGAAAAATATTTTCTTGAATTTTTTTTAAATATTTGGTATGTAAGCAAGAAATTGTTATATCAAAAGCATTTATATGTAATCAAGCAAAACACTATAGGAGGGGACCTCGGGCATGGCAAGGGATGGAATGGTCATGGTACAGGGTTGGGGGCATTAGATGGATAGAGACAGAGGTAGAGGTAGAGGTGAACCCATATTTTGAAGGTTTTTGATGCATCAATATTACGTTAACTCAAATATGACTCTAAGAATAGTGAAATAGACACTCTGGCTAGATTAGAATCCAGGCTTCGCAGGTTGATCCTTTAGCTTGTACAAGTAGCACAATGACACTCCTTTGCTTTTCATAGGTGCAATGTTAATTATATTCTACTTTCCGTCAAATTCTCAAGATAGATATGAGAACCTGTTTTCGTTATTTTGATTGAACTTGTGTGTTATGTTTTAATGGTATAGAATTGGAAAATGGGAAGAATTCAACACATCCAGCTGGGAGGTCCAATGCTTATCAAAGAAATAGTAGTTGCATCTGTGTTGGCATTTGCAGCAGGTGGTGCTTTTAAGATGTGGCATTGGGATATGCAGAAAAGAACTAAGAATTTCTATTATCAACTTGATAGAGGTGAAACCACTGTTGTTGCACAAGACTATTAGCCCATCACACTAACCTTATCAATAATCATCACCTATATCCTTACTTTCTTCTTCTTTTTTTTCTTTATTAGTATTTGTATTCGATCATGCGTATTCTGTTCTTAATTCAAATAAGTTTTCATGCAAAGGGAGATCAATTTCTACTAGATATTTTATTATTTACCACACTCAAGTTGGATACCTCGAATTAAGAATGGACCGATTTTATCTATATATTCCATCATCTCTTGATTTGTTAGATATTAATGCATCTTGTTTTCAACGATTTCACATATATATAGTTATCCTTGTTTAGTCACTAATCCTACACGGCTACACCTATTAAGATAGATGAGTATAACGAAAATGACGTTGCATAATCCTTCAGTTGATTTTTCTTTTTTCTTTTTTTTCTTCAAAAAATTAAAATAAGCCATCACCATCACAATTTAGAGCTATTAGGTGTGGAGGGTTTGGCTTGATCCCTCCTATGTTTATAATTTTTTCTCATAGAAGTTACACAGAATAGGAGGGTGGGGGATGGGGCATGTATCTAACTGCTGACAATCAATAGATATTATTAGGAATAAAAAATGGAAAATGCTATAAATTTATAATCTTTCATTCTGTAAAAAGAATATAAGATTCAACTAACGAAAACAATGACATTTGTCATTTCTTTTTCTGCTAGGTAGTTGTCACTGTCTATCTAGTTGAAAGAGTCCTTTCACTCCTTTCTTTCGGCAGTTGTTGATAAGAGAAGTAGAATAGATACCATAGAAGTCAGCCACTTAGTTGGCTTCTTTATATCAATATGAGTGTCACTATCCAAATATTCAAGTCACGATGACATCTACTATTAATCTACTAATAGGTAAGTTAATCTTTTTACGTATGAAACTAACTAAAACAGGCCTAGGGAGTAGAAGAAATAGACGAGCATTGTAAAAAAAAGAAAACTTTCATAAATAGCCACTATAATTAAATTTACCTAAAGTTTCATAATAACAAACAGTAGTCAGTAGCTACAGCTGTAATAGCTTATAAAAAAGGAATTCAATTTTTAAATGAAATGACGATAATCTCGAAAGGCATAAATAACTTAATTCACGCTCGTTATAAATCATACCTGTTATATCTTCCTCTTGCAACAGAATTGAGTATCTCCGATCGAAAATCGCCGCTGGCAACTCACTTTTCTTGCCAGATCATCAAATCGGCGTCAATTTCATCGTTGATTATACAACATGTACATATACAATGAAGAGATTTAGTTTAGGTATATAGTTTCATCTCTTTTCTGTTTGATGCTCTGAAAATTCCGTCGAATCAATTGATATTTTGGTCGAAACAAGTGCATCTATTGTATAAACTGTTTAATCGAAATTCAAATCGTAATCGATAATCGAAGCTTTCATTGAATGTATGTTTCAATTGTTTCCTGTGGAGTTATTTTTTTTGAAGTGATTTAGATTTGTAAAATTATATAAATTAGTTTTAGTTGAATTGCGATTTGAATATGTATAATTCATTGATAGTTGTAGTTTATGCATAGTTAGTGACTGTATAAGTTAGTGTTCGTATAAATGTAAAATTTTATATATGTAGATGTATAACTGAGTTGTTTTAATGATTAATTGTATAAAGTTAATTTTTGTAAAATTTAGTTTGTATAAAGTGATTTAGAATTGTAAAATTGTATAAATTAGTTTTAGTTGAATTGCTATATGAATATGTACAATTCATTGATAGTTGTAGTTTATGTGTAGTTAGTGTCTGTTTAAGTTAGTGTTCGTATAAGTGTAGACTTTTATATATGTAGATGTATAACTAAGCTGTTTCAGTGATTAATTGTATAAATTCAATTTTTTGTATAATTTAGTTTGTATAAAAGTGATTTAGATTTGTAAAATTGTATAAATTAGTTTTAGTTGAATTGCGATCTGGATATGTATAATTCATTGATAGTTGTAGTTTATGTGTAGTTAGTGTCTGTATAAGTTAGTTTTCGTATAAATATAGACTTTTATATATATGTAGATGTATAACTGGGTTATTTCAGTGATTAATTGTATAACTTTAATTTTGTATAATATAGTTTGGATAAAGCGATTTAGATTTGTGAAATTGTATAAATTAGTTTTAGTTGAATTGCGATTTGAATATGTATAATTCATAAATAGTTGTAGTTTATGTGGAGTTAGTGTTTGTATGAGGTAGTGTTCGTATAAATGCAAACTTTTATATCTGCAGTTGTATACACTACAAAAAAACTGTATTTAGCAACAAACAAAATCAGTTGCTAAATAGCTTATTCCGTTGCTGTTTTCGTTTAGCGACGGAATAACGACGAAATATTGTTCATCGCTATATTGCACATATCTAACCATTTAGGGACGAAACAATTGAATCTGTCATAAACTTAGCGACGAATTTGCGACGAAAGTTACCCATCGACAAGATTAGCAACGGAAACATCTATCACTATTTTTATAATTTATGTTGTTGTTCTTGTAACTTATTTCGTCGTCTCAATAAAATGGCAACTAAATTATTGTAGCTAATTTTGTCACCAATCTCTTTAGCGACAAAAAAAATTATTTCTCGTTTTATATATTATTTTGTTGTTTTATCATCTAGGGCGACCAAAAATTTTATAGCTTTCTCCATTTATTTAGCGACGAAAATAATTTATCACAAATCTATCAATATTTATTTATTTGTGGAATTAAATACATATTTTTAAACACATATTATATAATCATAAATCAATTTTATACACATAAATTAATAATCAACAAGATCCAAAGTACATATCTTAGTGAAAATTATATTACCAAGTTCAAAATATCCCCAATGATAAATTTCAAGCAAAATATATAGTTGAAAACATTTTCAATAGAATCTAGCCAAAACTAATTAACTAAAGAGACTAGAGACCCATAATCATTCCTCAAAACTGACGCATGGTACTCATTGATATTTGTTGCAGTTCGAGCAGGAGTTACAAGTGCAACAGGTTATGGATAGTTGGTAGGAGTGTTTGGATGAGATGAGACTAGAGAAATCAAACCACGTACCTGCTCTATAAGTATAGGAAGCAAGTGATTAGTTAGTTAAGGAATCATTCGGACCACTAACTCATCCATATTTTCTATTGGTATTGTTTGAGCATGTGGACGTTGTACTGAACCAGAAGCATCAGACATAGAAGCGACATAAAAATTTGGTCCATAAAATAATATTGCTTGAGCTCCAAGACCATATATCCTTCTTTTCTTTTCTCCTCCCGTTGCTTGATAATATGTTGTCATTGATCAACATCAGATTGAGTTTGTGTTTGGTTAATATTTCATGATTTTATCCTGCAAAAGAGTGGAAATTAGTGAAATTCTTTATTGATATCAACAACAGACATATCCAGACTACACTACCAGCAATGAGTTCTCATGTATTTTTAAAAAATCTACATTTAAAAAAGGTCTAAGAATAAAAATAGACATACTGCGCAAAACAACAGATAATGTCTTTGACCTAGTAAACTTCAATAGTTTTGCTATTGTTTAATCATAAGTCCCCACCTTTGAAAACAACAGTATATTGACAGTTAACAACATTGATTTTCCTTCATTCACATTAATAGTCGTCAGTTGAATGAGTTAGCGAATTAAATATGCATATACTGTAAAGCAATTGTAAATACTGTTTGTTTTGATGATAGACATTTTCAGAGGATCTGTTTTCTATTTTTTGTTCTCAATTCACATCCTAAGATGACTAAGTGTTGACGTGGGAATTAATTTTCATATGTTGAGCAATGGTCTCCATTGCTGAAGAAGTTCTCTATGTTGCAGGAAGACTTACATGGATTTTCTGTTATGGACCTAGCAGCAATGACACTAGACATAGGCCACGATTGGTGGCGTTGGCAGATTTTGTTACTGGCTGAGTCCACGATTGGATTGGAAGGTGGAAAGCGAGATTTCTATGAAAGGAGAAGCTTTGATTGCAAAATATGCTTCTAGTTTAAATGATGAGACAGAGGCTTATCTTCAACAATGAACCTAGTATATTATCTTTTTCCATGAAATACAAAAATATGAACTAAAAATAAATACAATAGAAAGGGATTTGAGCAATCAAACAACATGAATTGCCATTAATGAATAGTTGGAAAGCATAAAAAACATAAATGAGCTTAGGAAAAAAGTCAAAGAAGCTAAGGTTCAAATGGTGAACTGAAAATAAAACAAACAATTATTTCTCTCAACCTATCTTGTGTTGTTCTTCATTCATGTATAGACACATCTATGTGAATTTTGTCAATAGAAGGAAGATTTAGCGGTGATTGCTGACACACTTTTAGAATTTCAGAAAATAATCGCATCCCTTGAGAAATAACTACAACGTCTAGGTACTCCGAAATTGTGTTCCAATCAAAATCAAAATCAAAATAAAAAATAACAGAAGCTAGAAAGGAAATAAAGGGGAAGCACTTGCAATTTATTCCAATAAAAATCAATAGCGACAATAAAAATGAAGCTTGAAAATGGGAAATATTTTCTAGATCGAGATAAAGCATTTTATCTAGATTTGTATAAAATAAACACAACAACAATATAAAATTAAAAAATTGAGCCCTTTTATCAATGTTAAATATGGACTGATAATATATTTATCCGTTTGTATTTAGCCCATTTTATACTCCAACACCCAACCAAACATCTCCCACAAAAAATGCCTTCTGATCTTTTTATACAATTTGTGTCATTAGTTATTCTTCCTTACATATTTTTGTGTTTGGTTGGTTGCATAATTGATGATTTAACAAAGCAAGGAGATGATATAATAATACATCATGTAAAAAGGTTAGTTAACTCATCTACTCTATTGAAAAAAATGAAAAAAAATATTTTCTCATCTTTGGTAGTAAGTTCAATCTAGTTCTTGAGTTGAATTTTGTTTATGACAAATGAAGATCTTTAGGAGTTGAATAAATAATAATACCTTGTGAAATTCAGATATATATGTATTGCTTCCCAATCAGTAAGCTAAATCTTGTTTATTGCTACAACTTTATAAGAGTATTTCCCTTCTTAGATCGACATAGATACTTGCTAAGTGCCTATACACTATAGGATATGTCTGGTTTGGTTATGATTACATATTCATATTTATCTGTGGTTAATATGATTTTTTATTCAATGGTGTGGCTATTGACTTTGCAACACTCAGAAATTAACTCTTAAGACATTGTTAGTTTTTTTTGGCAAATTGAATAACTAAGAATTTGTTCTCCTAAGTCCTTCATTTTGAAGGCTTGCTGTCCCAATTTCTTCAAACAGTTGGAAACTTCTACTCGTGATGAGCATGTCATACATACATATATAAATAAAAATAAATTTACCTTACTTTAAAGACTTTACCGAAACATATCTTCAAGGCTTTATCTATTTTTTTTTGAGATTCAACCAAATCTACAAATAAAATACCAAATTTGTAATGAAAATTGAAAATGTAGTAAAAGAAAGCCTTCTGATTTACAAATAAATATGAGGTTTCAGAATTAAAATTACCTTTTGGTAAACCAACAAGGAATAAGCAACACCCAAGCAGTAGCGACAAATTTTCAGCAACAATTAAGTAGCCTCAAAGAAGCAGCGAAAAGTTTCCAACAATGATGCAACAACACTTGATTTCAAGCAATCATGAAATAACTTCCAAGCAACAACACTTGATTTTTCAGCAACGATGAATTAATCATTTTGTTGATACAAGAAAAAAATGTTGATATTCACTTTTAATGACTAAATTGGAGAAAACACCAAAATCATTGTTACAATCAGAATATAGAGCATATGAGAGAGTGAATCATAATGTTACAAACAGAAAAAAAATCGAGCTTATTGAAAAATTGTTGTTCTACAAGCTAAAGAGAAACAAAATATAACTGAAATAGAGAGAACACTTACCTATATTTCTGAAATTTCGTTCTTACACATCACCAAACTCAACTTCTCCCAAAATCTACTAACTTTCACTTCACATAGAGTTTTCTCACTGAGTGGGTGGATAAGGGTGGGTGGGTCGGCGAGTGAGTAAGGAGCGTTGAGAGGTTCCTCCGTGTGAGAGACGTTTCTCACTCTCAGATTTTTGCTTTTCACGGCGAGTGGGTGGGGACAGATGAGAGGTCTTGTCTATGAAAAATTGGTGAAAGAGTTAAGTTGGGAGGGTAATATTGGAACCCTAGAATTTTTGGCTAAAAATTACCAACGATTTTAGCGATAGATTTGCGTTCTGTCGCTATGTATTTTTACATATTTTAATAGAAATTAGCCAACGATGAAACTTTTTGTAGCGAAAAATAAAATAACACTAGTGACAGAAATTTCTGTCATTATTTTTGTCGCTAACAAATTATATAATTTTTTATTTATACGTCTCTATTTTCGTAGGAAAATTAAGGCGTCAAATTTTAGCGCCCAATTTTACATACACATTTCAATTTTCGCCGCTAATCCGTCACTGTTTAAGATTTCAATATTTCCTTTGATATTTTAGCAACAAAATTAGTTTTTTGTAGCTAATCCATTGTTATTTGTGACAAAATATTATTTGTCGCTGAAATTCATCGTTAAATATTATTTTTTTGTAGAGATAATTGAGTTGTTTTAGTGATTAATTGTATAAAGAATTCGGAAGAACTGATTTGTGTTAATTATTGTATAAATTAGTTGTTATAAAGTGAATTTGATTGTAAAATTTTATTAATTAGTGTATGTATAAATGGATTAATAACAATTGATTTATATTGATATTGGATGGGAAAAGGGTCAAAATTACCCTCCAACTTTAGTTTATTAGTTGATTATACTCCTGCCGCTAAAACAAAGTTATTTATACCCTCACCGTTACTAATTTCACCATCTATACCCCTCAATTTACGAAAACCCCTAAAGCGACTCTAATTAACCTGAATTTAAAAAAAGACCCATTTTCCATTTAACTCAATGCCTCGACTTTCTTTACCTTTTAATCGATATTACCCATTTTCCTTTTACTCACCAACTGTAGGTCTTATTCATCCATATAATTCCTCCATTAATGGAAAAAAAGCTCCATTCCCTTCTGTTTTGTTCTAATTTTCAAAGTTGCAAACTTTTTCTTCCTTGTACCTAAAAGAAAACTCACTTTTTTATTTATACATAATAATCAACTGCGTTAATCTCTCTATGTCGCTCTGTTAATCTCACGTCCATTTTCGTATTAAAATATTCATTTGTTTATGACTACATTTTGTACTGACCTTTCTTTTTTTCCCTGTTCCAATGGAAAAGTTGAGGTCTTTCAAATCTCGGTTTCCATTTCATCATGTTCATCGTGCTAACCCTCCTTCACACCCAATATAAGAACGTCAAAATTAATTGAAATAAACCCCAATACCAGTGTTTCTAATATGGGTTCTCAAGCTATGAATGCAACTGATTGTACAGAAGTTGTCATCAAAACGAATATCATAGAAAGCCCCAAAAATCTATAAAGAAATTGAGCTCTCTTCTTCGAAAACCTAGTTGAGTAGCACTACTAATGCAGATGAGAGTATACATAATAAGGCGTATATAGATTCCAGTTGTCATATCTCACGATTCAGCAATGAAACGCATGAGGAAAACAACAAAGATTTCAATTTCGTAACGAAATCACCATTTTCACAGTCGTCTCCATTATCTTGGGTGGAAGAAAGCCCCAACCATGGCGTCCTTACGCTGAGAGAAGTTTGAGTTTATTTTGATGAGAACCTCGTCGGTAACTGATGGTGAAGGGGAATGGATAATACAAGTTAAAAGATAGAGGGTTCGGGGCATCGGATAAAATAGGAAATGTTTCTTCTAATTCGGGTCAATTTGAGTTGATTTGGGGCTTTCCATCAGTTGAGGGGTATAAATGGTGAAATAGTAACGACCATGGTATAAATAACTTTATTTTTCGGCAGAGGTATAATCAACTAATAAACTAAAGTTGGAGGGAAATTTTGACCCTTTTCCCAAGAATGTCTTCCATAGCTATCTTGGTAATGCATTATGGAAAATGGGATGATTGATACGTTCAAATTTACTTCTTGAAACAAAGTAAAAGCGGTTTTATCAAGTAAAAAACCCCACTAGTGAAGTTGGGATCGTTCCCACGAGGAAAATGGTTCAAACTTAACTTTATTCTATTATTACTTTTAATTAGTCAATTATTTCTCGAAAACAAATAACAAAAAGGGGGATTTTGTTTTATGAAATCAATTAGCTAAATTAAAGTAAACAACTAACAGGTTCAAGTATTGGAGTTTAATCAAGTAATGAGAGTAACTAGGGCATAAGTGTTCCCCACAGGCTCCTAACTCGATAATTCTAGCTATAACAATCCTTTCCTAGTATCTTGCATGTAAAGTGATAAGTTAGGTATCTCTAAATCCTTGGTCCGGCATCTAGAGAATTTCACTCCGCACCTTGGTCTGGCTACCTGTGTTGCTTTACTATACCTTATCGTTACCTTATATTAAGCATCATATTCGATTTTTGACTAAGTTGTTACTTCGTACCAACCGACACTAGCCGATTAGATAGTATACACTAAATCTATTTTGATAAGCCTTTTCCTATTATCTACCTCATTGGTCTAACAAGTAGAAATAAGGCGAGTTCTAACGTTGGCCTCAGTTAAAAAGACTTCTAAGCAAAGGAATTATCAATACATGCAAGGCACTATTCTAGAATTGTTATTTTAGCTAGGTTTTACCTTGTTATTTACCTATGGTTTCCACAAGCCTAGTTATGGAGTTTAGTTACCCATGCTAATAATCACACAATTCATAATAATAATAATGTAAGAATTCATGAACTTACTTTGATGAGAATGAAAAAATCTAGAAATTTACTTGAATAAATCAGAAAACACCAATAATCGATTCTGGAAAAGTAATATCAAATCCCAAAATCGAAAGTTCAATACTAGGACAATAAAATTGAAAATTATTTAAGAGTCTAACACCAAAAATGAGTTTTTTTGAACTATTTATAATAAACAAAACCTAATAAAAAAGGAAATCTATTTAAGGAAAAATTATCCCAAAACGCGTCAAAGTCGACGACCCTTGTGACGGACCGCCGTGGACACAATGGACCGTTGTGGCTTTCGTCGTTCCATACTTAGCATAAATCTCTACTGCTTTCTTCATCAACTATTGTTACCCTGGTATGATAGACCGTTGCGAGCATGACGATCCGTTGAGGGGTTCCATTCCACGATACTTAGAATCTTCTGAAGTTGGGTATTGGGACTACTCTCTGTTAGCATTGAAGAATGTGCAGGACGGACCATCGTGTCTATGATGGTCCGTTGTGAGCTTCCATAGTCCCACACGTTGTCAGAATTCCCCAACTTTCTTTATAAGCCATTATCTTATCACGATGGTTGACCCCTACGGACCGTCACGGTCACGACGGACCGTCGTGGGGTCTGTAGGTGGTCACTTCTGCAATTTCAGCTCAAAATCTCCGCGTTCTCCTTTGGACAGATTTCCTGGAAATAAATAGAAAACTACATCAAAAATCAATACAAAAAGGCTTTTAGACACACACTAAACTTAAGGAAAAGGCATTGAAAGTACCGTGAAACCACGATACCTCAACACCCTCAACTTTAATTCATTTTTTATTCTCAAGCGACACACTATGACTCACTACAAAATCTTTGTACAAGAGTATCCGTATTTTAGCTTTGACAATCTTTCAACTTTTATTTTGTTCTTTCTCTCTCTTTGTTCTTTCAACCCAACTTTCTGGAGCATTCCTCATAATAGCCACCCTCAACTCATGGCTTTGCCATGAGTCAAAGTACACAATACCCAAAGTTGGGTCAGGGCCACGACAAGGTTATTTTCTGTATTAGCCACCCTCAACTTATGCTTTTGGCATAATCTGAGATGCACATGTCCAAGAAGGGACCAGGGCCAACACATTGTTCCCAGAAAAGATCAGTTGGGGTGAAAAAGAAAGGTCTATTTTAAGCTCCAATCATTTGGATCAAGAAGGGATTAATTTAATTCGGTTATCTGTTATTTAGGCTAAAGATTGACTATATTGAATAAGAGCCTATGATCCTTTTCTAATTGTCTATTACAACTTACTTTTAGGAGGAATAACCAGGCAAGTTCTAGATCAGTACCAATGGTGGAATATTCAAATTTTCCTAACTCTTATTTGACATCTCATTACTCTACCAAATTATCATACACCTAGTTCGAATCTTAGATTTAGGGTCATGCCGTGATGTATCTCTATGTCTTGCTTAGAGCAACACATTTATCAGCTACTACGCCTAGTCATGCATCATTTTCATTACATCGAGATATCATTTCTGTTATAGCCATCATGCTTCAGAGTTATACTATGTACACAAGATATAGACATGCCGATTCAA